TGTCCTGGAGTGCAAGGACGCCAGCCAAGTCTCCAAATAACCCCTCAACGTCGGACAAGTCTTGGGCTTCTCTGTGAGGCTAGCTCTCAGAAGAGAAAGTGATGATCAAGAAAGAGTGGACTTTCATTTACTTTATGGCTGTAAATTTCTCACTATTAACTAAGCATTAGGTGGTTTCTAGATCTTTTTTTAAATTTTTATTGGAATAGAGTTGATTTACAATGTTGTGATAGTTTCAGGGGTACAGCAAAGAGAATCAGTTATACATATACATATATCTACTCTTTTTTTTTTTTTTAGGTTCTTTCTCATATAGGTTATTACAGACTACTAAGGAGAGTTCCCTGAGCCATACAGCAGATTTTATACATTATCTATTTAACACACAGTAGATCCAACCAGTCCATCCTAAAGGAGATCAGTCCTGGGTGTTCATTGGAAGGACTGATGCTGAAGCTGAAACTCCAACACTTTGGCCACCTGATGCAAGGAGCTGACTCATTGGAAAAGACCCTGATGCTGGGAAGGATTGGGGGCGGGAGGAGAAGGGGATGACGGAGGATGAGATGGCTGGATGGCATTACCGACTCGATGGATATGGGTTTGGGTGGACTCTGGGAGTTGGTGATGGACAGGGAGGCCTGGTGTGCTGCGGTTCATGGGGTCACAAAGAGCCAGACACGACTGAGCAACTGAACTGAAGCGAACAATCTCCCAATTTATCCCTCCTCCCGCCTTATCCCCTGATAACCATATTTGTTTTCTACATCTGTGACTCTATTCCTATTTCATAAGTTCATTTACACCTCCCCTTTTTTCTAGATTCCACATATAAGTGATATCATGTGACATTTGTCTTTCTGCATCTGACTGCCGTCACTCAGTATGACAATCTGTAGGTTCATCCATGTTGCTGCAAATGGCATTATTTCGCTCTTTTATGGCTAATATTCCTCGGCATGTGTGCACTACATCTACTTTATCCATTCCTCTGCTGATGGACATTTAGCTTGCTTCTATGTCCCAGCTATTGTAGACAGTGTTGCACTTAACGCTGGGGGTGCATGTATCTTTGAATTCTAGTTTTCTTCTGCTCTACCCTCAGGAGTGGGATTACTGGATCATATGGTAGTTTTAGTTTTTAAGGAATCTCTATACTGTTCTCCATAGTGGCTGTTACCAACTTACATTCCCACCAACAGAGTGAGAGGATTCCCTTTGCTCCACACCTTCTCCAGCATTTACTGTTTGTAAATTTTTAGATGATGGCCACTCTGATTGATGTGTGGTGATACTTCATGGTAGTTTTGGTTTACATTTCTATAATTATTAATATTAGTGATGTTGAACCTCTTTTCATGTGCTTTTTGACCATTTGTATGTCCTCTTTGGAAAGATGTCTACTTAGATCTTTTCTCCATCTCTTGATTGGATTATTTGGTGTTTTTAGTTTTTGGCTTCCAGATCTTGAAACCTGCTCTCAAGAGCCGCTCCTGGGATCTGACCCCAGGCATTGCCCCTTACACACTCCAATAAATGAAGTCGCCACCATCCCACCTGCCCCAGGCACACTGGCCTTGAGTGCGCTCTTGAACCCACAGTGGTAGCAACCATGCTGTCACCCCACATACAAATAACACTTATAACTAACTTGTGATAATCCTCGATTTGTTCCTCCCAACAGAAAAACACTGTGCTTTTTCATCGCCGTGTTAGGAAATGTGCCAAAGCAGGAGGAAACCATCGTGCCACTTCCTGTGCAGCTCTTTGTAGGTGACTGACTTCATCACCAAGCGCTCTGAGCAATACCATGTCTCTAGAAACACTCAGCTCACTGGGAGCCAGTTACCTCTTTGTAGTGGAGAAGAATTTCTTTAAAAATGCAACTTCAGTCTGAACACCCTTCTCTACAGAAGGCAATGCTGGACGTGTCTCCTCCCTCAGACAGGACAACAGTGGGGTCTTTATGCTACTTGAAGAGCTCGTCTTTTGGGCGAGTGGGGTAACGTTTTATTTTGAAATCATCCCAAATTTATAGGAAAACTGTGAGAATAATACAAAGAACTTATTTTCCCTTCACCCAGGTTCCCCAATTGTTAACATTTTAACCACATCCATTGGTTTTTTTTCCTCTCTATATAAATATGCACATTTTTTTTTCTGAGCTGTTTGAGAATAAATTGTAGACAGGATGGTCCTTTATCCCTAAATACTTCAGCATGTATCCATGCAAGAGCAAGAGCATTCTTTAAATAAATACAATACAATGATTAAAAAAAAATAGGAAATTAACATGGATAGAATACCATTATCTAAAGGCTTTATTCAAAAATTTCAATTGTCTCAATATTGTCCTTCATAATAACAACAACTAAAACAAACAGAGAAAAAAGTCCAGGACCCTTTTCAGGATCACATTGCACTTAGCCATGATGCCTTTTATAAAAGCCGCTCTCAACCCACATGAAGATTTTTTAATGTCATTTCAGCCCGAGCACCCCAGCCACACTGTGGCTTACACAGCACGAATGCATCAGGAAAGACAATTCTTTGCAGCGTCTTCCAAACCACCTCCGGCCCATCACAGTTCCCAGTGTTATGAGTTATACAGAAAGAAGACAGAAGTGCCAGGTATGTTCTCTGCACTCCAGAGCTGACCTCAGAGGTCACAGTGGCCTGAACCCGGCCCAAGCATCCAGCCACACCTTGGGGGCACAGGGGGCGGGGGGGCGGGCAGGTGTAGAGAAGAACAGTACATCCCAGACACAGCCTGAAAGGTGGAGCTCCTCCAGCTGGGGGAACCCCTGGCAGCAGCCCCTAAGAAAACAGGACTCCAGGCTGCAGCCAGCTCCGCCAAGGCTGGAAACAGAGCCTGTGTCCTAAGGGCCAACTCAGCTGACATCAAACCATCTCCGCCACCAAGGCGTGCTTTATCAAGTATTCTATTTTACTGTTACAGATAAAGGAAAATTTAGGAAATCCTACTCAATATGCCCAAGCCACTTAAACAATAGCTGCCTAGAGCAACTGACCGAGTAAAAGGCCCAGATCCGCCGGCTGAGCTGGGTTTCTGCAGATACCAACCTGCGTTGAAGTCCACGGTGGCATAGAGCCCCTGGAGCGCCCCGCACTGCAGGAGCCTCTCATTCAGCCCGTCCGTGGTGAACAGAAGCACGTCCTCACCCAGGTGGTCGTGGAAACGCTTCTGCAGGAAACGCAAGTAGTCGTAATCACAGGAATAGTAGCTGCCATATTCATTTTCAACCTGCAAGTTTAAAAAAGAAAGAAAGTGAAGTCGCTCAGTTGTGTCTGACTCTTTGCGACCCCATGGACTCTAGCCCACCAGGCTCCACCATTCATGGAATTTTCTAGGCAAGAATACTGGAGTGGGTTGCCATTTCCTTCTCCAGGGGATCTTCCCAACCTACGGATCTAACCCGGGTCTACCAGGGAATCCCATAGTTTAAAAAAGTTTAAAAAAGAGGAGGGGAAAGAAATCAGAAGACTCCAGCATTCTAAGGCAAACTGTTGTTTGGAGAAACTCCCCAAGCCTCTCTGAGATGATGAGGCTTAGTGGTCCCCTCCCCCTAAATATCTCCTACACGTGATCCTCAAAACTCATTTTCCAAAGAGCAACTCAGCATAAAAACCTAAGCCTGTGAGTCACAAGTAAGACCCGTTGCAGCCAAATGAATAAATAAATATTTTTTTTAAAAATCTTAAGAGGTATAGAGTTTAATGAAGGAAGCATGACACTAAAAAAATACACATAATACAACTTCCCGAACAGAAAATCCAAACCAGTTAAAAACAAACTATAAGTGTGGGTGTGCAGATGGTTGGTAGAAGTGTAAAAAAAAGCAAAAAACTGACGGTCGTGAAAGTCAGGACAGTGAGAAAAAGTAGAGCATGATCAGGAAGCCTCTAGGGTCCTGGCCACATACCATTTCCCATCTTGGGTGGCCATTCTGTGGCTGTTTTCTCCACAGTGCTTCATTCGCTGCACATTAATGTGTGTGTGTTACAGCTCACAATTTCACAAAAATTTACAAGTTGCCCAAACATAAAAATTTCAACCGGCACACAACACAAAACAAAGTTTTGTGATACGAGGGATATGTTGTCTTTGAACATGAGCATAAGAAACCAAAAGCCCCCCAGAAGGGATAGTTAGGGGGTTCGGGATTAGCCCGTCTGCAGCACTACACTTAAAATGGATAACCAAGAAAGACCTACTGTACAGTGCAGGAGCCCTGCTCAGTGTTACGTGGCAGCCTGGATGGGAGGGGAGGGCGGGGGAGAGCGGATCCGTGTATATCTGAGTCGCTTCGCTATGCACCTGAAACTATCACGGCGTTGTTAGTAATTGTTAACTCCAACACAAAATAAAAAGTTAACGCAAAAGAAACCGTGAGCCCCCAGAAAACAGGTGTCCAGCCTGAGGGAAGCTGGGAGCGGAGGTTGACGGAGCTCCCCGAGAGGGGTTACCCGAGGCAGCTCTAGACAGAAAGGCACTGGTCAAGGAAGCGAGACAGGTGGAGAGCGCTCCTCAGAGAGCAGGCTGTTTGCAGAATTGCTGGTGGCTCCAGGAGGCCTGTGGACACAGTCGGGGTGTGGGGAGGGTGGGGAGTGAGGCAGAGGAACCAAACACTACCATCACTGTTTAAAAGCACTGCCTTCCAAATGGCTTAATGCGCGATGGTTTTCTCAGCAAGAATCCCTCTGACTGTACTGTCAAGGTATGGGTTCAAAAGGCAGAATGGGGACCTCCCGGCTGGTCCAGTGATTAAGACTCCATGCTTCCAACACAGGGGACGCAGGTTCAAGCCCTAGTCCCTTTGAAAACAAATAAAGGAAAGCTTCGTAAACACTGGCAAGGTACATCCCCCCTCATTTTCTTTTTCCTCCTTTTAATTAAGAGCTATTTATAGGGACCTCCCTGGTGGTCCTGTGCTGAAGACTCTGTGCTCCCAATGCAGGGGGCAAAGGTTCAGTCCCTGGTTGGGGAACTAAGATCCCACAGGCTGCACAACACAGCCAAAAAGAAGAAAACAGGTACTTAAATGGCTGTGTCTTCCTTCATCGTCTGGCTGCCAAGGAGTTCAGAGCTAACTTTAAGGTCAGCTCTAGCAACAAAGTGGGTTCACAGCCTCTGCACCCCGAGTTCTTTTCTGGCCATGCCCAAGCTGACATCGTCGATCTTCACTTACTTTTTTCAAGCCTTGTTTATCCATTAACATCATTATATTACAGTAAAATGTAGGAGTGTATCTTAAACAGGATTGTAATTAATGCATACACATAATTTGGTTCGCTTTTTAGAGAAAGAGAGAAAAGCTCCACACTGGCAAGACAGCTGAGCGCTGTGGTCACAGGCACAGACATCAAAGGCCCAAGAGTCCTCATGCAAATCTCAGCTCTGCCTCTTCTCATCCATGTGGCTCCACCTGTAAAACGTCTGTCTGTCTGTAAGAGGTGAGTGTGCCTTCCCCACTGGGCTGCATGAGGAGCCCCTGAGCCGATGCACAACACGCAGCACCTTGTCAAAGCTCAAAATGCCGGCAACAAAGCGTATATTCAAGTTCTCTATCATCGCCAAGGAGGGGAAGGGAGAGGCGGGGCAGGGGAAAGGAGAAACACACAGAAAAGGGCTTGAAAGACACACAGAAGAAGTCGAAGTGAGATTGCAAGGAACACTGATTGTTCTAGAGCAGGAGTTTGCTAACTTTTTCAGTTAAGGGACAGAGAGCAAACACTAGGGGCTTTGGGCCATAAGTCTCCGTCTCAGCTACTCGAGCACGTCACCGTGGTGCCCGAGCACCCCAGATGATGCATAGATGGCTGTGTGCCAATGGCACTGATTTACCACAACAGGCAGAGGGCCCCTATTGCAGGTTGCAGATACTTGCTCTAGGATAATCATCTCACCCTGTAAGCTCCTAAGTACCCTACATACGAACCTTCAAGCTGTGAACTATCAAAGATGTGAATGTGCCCAGAGAAAGGATGAAGAGAAACAAGAGGAAGGTGAAGAAACTGAAGAACTGAAAAGATTCACAACGCAGGGAAATGGCAAGGCAATTTTCTTGACTTGAGGAACCCCTGTTTGTTAGTTTTCTAGGCACGGGACCCAAATGTAGAACAGTTCACAAAGATTGCTGGAGCTGCTCAGAATGCAGTCCAGCGCTACTGCTGTCATCTACGATGACAAAAAAAGAGATACGGCCTAGATATCGCTGGATCACTTTCCAAGAGAGTAGACAGAATTGTTTGTCTATGACAAACCTAGACAGTGTATTGAAAAGCAGAGATATTACTTTGCTGACAAAGGTTTGTATAGTCAAAGTTATGGTTTTTTCCAGTAGCCATGTACAGATGTGAGAGTTGGATGATAAAGAAGGCTGAGCACCAAAGAATTGATGCTTTCAAACTATGGTCCTGAAGAAGACTCTTGCGAGTCCCTTGGACAACAAGAAGATCAAACCAGTCAATCCTAAAGGAAATCAACCCAGAATATTCACTGGAAGGACTGACACTGAAACTGGAGCTCCAACACTTTGGCCACCTGATGCAAAGAGCTGACTCACTGGAAAAGATCCTGATGCTGGAAAAGATTGAAGACAGAAGGAGAAGGAAGCGACAGAGGAGGAGATCGTGGGTGGCATCACCAACACAATGGACATGAGTTTGAGCAAATTCCGAAGGATGGTGAAGGACAGGGAACCTGGAGTGCTGCAGTCCATGGGGTCACAGAGAGCCGGACACGACCGAGCAACTGAACAACAGATAGAATTGATAGAATTGATCCAGCAAGGAACCAGAACCTGCACCATCAGCATTAGGCATGGATGAAATCAAAGCTTGTCCTCCGTCCCCTATCGCTGACGACCCTTCAGCTCTGCCATCTCCCACCTCGTCTCCCTTCTCCAGTCAGTCGCTCTTGCCTGTTCGCTTGATGCCAGCCCCCGTGTGCCAGTTGTTGTACTGTCCCACTATACTTTTCAAGGTACTGTACTGTAAGATTGAAAATGTTTTCTTTTTTGTGTTTGTTTTTTAATGTATTATTTGTGTGGAAAGTATTATAAACTTATTATAGTACAGTACCATATAGCCAATTGTGTTAGTTGGGTACTTGGGCTAACTTTGTTGGACTTAGGAACAAATTAGACTTAGGAACGTGCTCTTGGAATGAAACTCGTTCATACATAGGGGATTTACTGTAAAGCAACAAAGACATTTTCAGTTGTTGACCTTCTAAAACAACAGGTATAAACAGAGGGAGTCCCTCATGACGAGTGCCCCACAAGTTAGGTTGTAGGGTAGGAGGCCCCCATTCCTGATTACCAAGGGGCAAAAGGATTAGGTGGGATCTGAGCAGGCAGAGAGATGTGGGGAGGAAAAAGAGGAGGAAACAGTCCCCTGGCAGGATCCACAGTGAAGTTCATGTCACCTGGGGTTGCCAGGGATGGATACAGGGGGAAACATGCCCACCGTCCACCCCTCTAAATCAGTCAACTTTGCTCTCCTGTGCAGAGTTCGTATTTGATGACATTTTGAAAGTGAAAGTGAAAGTGTTAGTCACTCAGTTGTGTCCAACTCTGTGCTACCCCAGGCCTCTGTGCTACCTACAGGCTACAGGCCTGTAGCCTGCCAGACTCCTTTGTCCATGGAATTCTCCAGGCAAGAATACTGGAGTGGATTGCCATTCCCTTCTCCAGGGATGACATTTTAGTGCCTTTCAATAACCAAAAGACACAGAAAACTTGTGAGCAAAAATTGAAAGTGATTTAGGGGGTACTTCCCTGGGTGTCCAGTGGCTAAGACTTCTTGCTTCCAATGCAGGGGGCCTGGGTGTGATCCCTGGTCAGGGAACTAGATCCCACATGCCCCAACTAAGAGTTAGCATGCTGCAACTGAAGATCCTGCATGCTGCAACTAAGACCCAGCACAACCAAGTAAATAAATAAAATTTTTTTTTAAAAAGTGACTTAGAAGCAAAGGGCTTTCCAGGTGGCTCAATGGTAAAGAAGCTGCCTGTCAATGCTGGAGATGCAAGAGACGTGGGTTTGATCTCTTCGTTGGGAAGATCCCCTGGAGGAGGATATGGCTACCCACTCCAGTGTTCTTGCCTGGAGAATCCCATGGACAGAGGAACCTGGTGGGCTACGGTCCATGGGGTCACAAAGAGTTGAATGTGACTAAGCAACTCAACAACAACAAAAAAAGTAAAAAACAGTGGGAACTGAGGAAAACCTGAGATCAAGAGGAAGGAAGAAGACCCAGCTAGGCAGACACATCCAGTTTCAGCCTTGAAATCTTCATGTAGGAAAATGGGCTCCTATCAGCTTAACTGGTACAGACTCAGGACAGGTGGGGGGCAGTGAACGCTACCAGCAGGCCATCTCTCTGGGAATAGCGCCTGGCCTTCCTCTGCCACGCGGTGTCAGAGCAGGCACCCTGGTCAGCCCGGCCCTCTTGCTGCACCCTGCGTATTCGTTTGTTAGTGTTTTTTTTTGGTGGGGGGGCTGCCCCACACAGCTTGTAGGATCTTAATTCCCTGACCCGGGGGTGAGCCCAGGCCACAGCAGTGACAGGGCAGAGTCCTAACAACTGGACCGCCACGGAACCCCCTACAGCCTGTATCTTAAGCGCACAGAAATGGCCAAGCTCCCTCCCCACCATGACCATCCCTACAAACAGTGAACAGTGCTGGTCCCAAGTGCTGGCCCACATTCCCCTAGGGAGCGCTGCACACACCCCATGCTGGTCCGGGACACAGCCAGTTTTACATAACATACTCTCTGCAATAAGAGAACCCTTGCAAAATGACCAACAAAGATGGTTTTGTCTGACCTAAGTCATTTTACAAACATCGAAAATCACAAGTGAATCGATCTTTCTCTTGGAACACTCTTGCCACATGACATACTCCTTGATCTACCAGTCACTGCAAAGAGAAAAACATATGGAAGAAGGAAGGTGAGGGCAGGAAGTGGGAGAAAAAACACAGTGGCCCCAGCTCACCGCATCCTCTTTCCACACCCACGGGAGCCAACGACCAAGGTGATACAGACACCAAAGTGGGTCAGTCCGGGGTGCGTCCCTGCAGCCAGAAGGCTCGTGGGAGCAGAGGGGAGCCAGGCTGCAATCCTTACTGCCACTGGCCAGCTGCGTGACCTTGGCCCAGTCACTTAACCTCTTTGGCGACGGTGGCTGGGATAACTGACTGGCATCTGCAGGGCAGCCAGCACAGTCTCACAGAGGGCATTCAAAAATGGTAAAGCCCTATCAAAACGCAATTTAAATCAAGTACCGCCTGTGGCACTGCCTCTTAGAGATAGACACAAGAGGATAAACTGCAAGGACCTTACTGTAGAGCCCAGGGAACTATATTCAACATCTTGTCATAACCTATAATGGGAAAGAATCTAAAACTGAATGACGTTGCCGGACACCTGCAACTCACACAACATAGCAAATCAACTACACTTCAATTCTAAAAAGAAAAAAGAAAGAAAGAAATAGGCACATGAGGCTCCCATCTGCTTCACTCCCATATACTGTGTGGATAAATGGAAACCTCCCCCTACCCACCTGGGCTCCATGATTACCTGCACTGTGATAATCGGGCCTCCATTCTTGTAGAGGAGGGGCCTCATCTTGGGCAGAAGGACCCCCAACCACTTGTCCACAGCCGCAAGGTAATCTGGAAAACAACCAGGTTTAACACCATCACACACCTTGTGTCTACAAAGAGGCACCATGCAGTCTATTATCCTGGAGCTGGCAGCAGAGATCGAACAGACTGGATTCAACCACTACCTTCTGAAACGGGGGTATCACGCGCACTCCAAGTCTGATAAAAGTTGTCCCGCCTGGAGTTGTCTGCTCAGCGGAGACTTTGGAGGACCAGTGAGCCTGGTGTCGGCCCCTGCCGCTAGGACCACAAGCCTGCAGCACAGAAGGCATCTGCCAATGTTTGTTGAATGACTGAGTGACGGGTCCTCCTCTGTCACAGCTGAGTTTTTTAAAAATTAAGTTCTAATCAACTATACATTTACACTGTCAAATGGGGATAAGTACGCAGTTCATAAAGCTGCTGTATGTATTAAATGAGACAGTACGTGGGAAAACACTAATAATACACTAAAAATGTAAAACGTGAGGGTAGTACACTAAGAAGAAAAGGCACGCAGAGTGTAATGTACTAGCCTTTTATACAGCAGATTTAATCATTGTTAGCTGCTCTTATGACCAGCTTCACCCCCAAGAGAAATGAAGTCTTCAGAAGACAGAAATGCAGCTAAGAACTCTACTGAGTACTCCGCAACGACCTACATGGAGACAGAATCTCAAAAATATGCATAGCTGATTCACTGTGCTGTACAGCAGAAAGTAGCACCACATTGTAAGTCAACTACATGCCAGCAACAATAAATGCACCTAATCAGGGCCTGAAGACTGATCAGGGTTTA